GCTTTTGAGGTTCGCCTGGTGTGTCTCTCCCAAGCCTCTTGTTTTCGTGCTTGTGCAGCAGTAGGGACACACACGCGCTTCACTCTGTGCTGACTGCCTTCCTCCCTTGCCTTTCCTTGCGGCAGGCCTGCCATCCGCAGTCTCTGGGAGTTATGCATACGGCCACCTGAACGTGGTCAATGTGTGCCACTACTACATGCACACCGTGGTGCTTATATGGCAGGTGCTGTGCAGCATAACTAGTCGCCATGTATTGCAGTGTGACTGTGAAGTCTCTCAACCAACCAAGATATAGTCTACCACCCCAAGAGAGAAGATAGACTTGGAGCACTGCTGTGGTACAATGATTGACGGCATATAGACGGAGAGGGGCGGGTACTCTATTCTGCCACTCTGACCTAAGGCTGTTAGTCGTGGACCTTTGACCACGCCCGTACCTCTCGAGACGGAGCGCCTGTACATGCCGCTATCAGCGTTCGGACTCTCGTGATGCGTCTACAACTTACGCAGCTCTGGCCTTGCCTGTCGTAGCACTGCCCATTCCACATGTTGACCTAGCCTGTCACTGAACGGCAATGGCAAGCTGCCTATGACTTCGCAAGCCGTACTCTTTCCAAGACCTCAGTCGCCCCTTCGGTCGCATCGCCCCCCGCCGGTGTATTTCACCCTGCTGAAACGCCCATGGCGCCGTCCGTCGAGCAGTAGGCTACCGAAATGTTTTCCCTGGTCGTGTGGGAGGGGCAATGGGAAGCGATTTGGAGGGAGCTCTACTTTGTTGACCTACCAGCAAAAAAGGAAGGAGATGCATTACGTGCGCTCCCGGCGACACATGCCCTTGCTTGGTGCCGAGAGAAAGCTCTCCCACAACAGTCCCCCACTGTCCGTCCCACAAGTCCACCGCGTCGTGTGCATCCGGGTGGCACACTGCCGGGCGGGGGATTGCGGATGCTGACGGGAGAGTTGCCAGCATGTCGAAAACGAAGGCCCTCGACGACATCGGACGCCCGGAGGCACTGCTGAAGAGCATCTGACTCCTGGCGTGCTGCATGAAGTAGGCTTGGCCCTCGACGATGGTAGTGGCAGACGCGGCGGCGGCGTCCTTCAACATGTACAGGAACATGGCGCCCTCGGACTCGTAGCAGTTGTCGTTGGTGGGCATGGGAGTGAGGTGAGGTCGCACGAGGAGGGCCTGAGAAGTGTACACGCACACCGCCCGTAGAATCTCAGCGACAACCATGACCAAAATGATCCTCCTGACCATTTGGATCATGGTCGTCGCTGAGATTCTAAGGGCTGTATGTGCGTGTACACTTCTCAGGCCCACCTCGTGCGACCTCACCTCACGCCCATGTCCACTACCAACGTCGACTGCTACGATTCTGGGGGGGTCATGTTCCTGTGCATGGTGAAGGACGCCGCCGCCGCGTCTGCCACTACCATCGTTGAGGGCCAAGCCTACTTCATGCAGCACACCAGGAGTCAGATGCTCTTCAGCAGTGCCTGCGGACGGCCGATGTCGTCGAGGGCCTTCGTTTTCGACGACATGCTGGCAACTCTCCCGTCAGCATCCGGAATCCCCCGCCCGGCAGTGTGCCACCCGGATGCACACGACGCGGTGGACTTGTGGGACCGACAGTGGGGGACTGTTGTGGGAGAGCTTTCTCTCGGCACAGCAAGGGCATGGATAGCCGGGAGCGCGCGTGGGCGTGGTGCTCGTCTGCCTTCGATGGAGTACGGAACACCTTCAGCCCGACCCCAACACCACCGTCTCCACCGTCCCTGGAGCCTGCGCCGCCTGCATCGAAGGTACAGGCATGACTGGTGCACCGTTTTGTTTATTTTCGGCGAGGTTCTCAGCTCTTGTTCGTGCTTGGCTTCACAGATGTTTTTCTCTCTCTCTGATATCTGTTGGAGCTCGCGGGAAGGCAAAGGGACGGGTTGACAAGCGTCTGGTGTACTGTAAATAGTCTGCTGTACAGCTGTATGATCGAGCGGGGGCAGGGGCAAGAATACTAGAACGCGATCTTACCGTAGTGCAGTTCGGCTGTGGTGCTCGACTACGGGCTTACCACGACCAGTATGAGACAGGCATGGGTCTTCAAGCGTTGATCCCATCCCGCCTAGATGGGATTGGGTGTTGTTGGAGTCCGTTTCTATTTTTGTTGAAGTCGTATTTTTTGGATCCACTTGCGCGCGCGCGAAATGGACAGAGAGGCATGCAACCGCTGCACTCCCAGTTCAAGTTGAATATCCAACACCGCATAGGATCTTCAAATATTTCGAAGAGCAGATGCCGACTCTATCAATGTCTATAGCGAGCGCACCTTCTCTAAAACTGGAGTCAGGGACAGTACGGCTCATCTTTCACTGAGAGGGCAGAGTATGCTTTATTTATGCAGTGGAAAGCATGCTGCGCTTGCCTCAACAGCAGGCATTCGATCGCCAACAACTCAAGCATTGCGCGGTCCAACAACGCCTTTCTCCCGCTTGCTCATGCACACTCGCACATGCCCACGCAGTCTTTCTGGAGCAAAGCTCTCACAACAGAACCGGACTGCTGCCAGGCCTGCTCTGATCTCCACAGAGAGATGCAGGTGCACGCATGCGTCCCTCCTGGCAGCGTAGCAAGTGCTGCCACCGCTCGTGTTGCTGCGTGTGATAGTTGAAACATCGTGTGTGTGGTAGGTACAGAGTGGCTATTGCTTCGTGCAATAGCAGAGAGAGATGAACGAAGAGGGTCTCCGTCGGGCAAATGGGGTTGGCAAGAACGATGTTGAAGAGCCGAATAGCCCACACCCTCCCCACTCTCCCTTCCTGTGCGGTCCACTGCCCTTAGCCGTGGTGGAAACGGACGTGATCGGCGATCGCGGACGTGGTCGGCGATCGTCGGGAAGGGGAACGAGAAGCTGCCGCCCCCAGTCCCTCAGGTATAACATTGGTCAGAGTATACTCACGGCTAAACCTACCCACGAACAAGGAATTGGTAATAGTATCACGGGTTTCGTTGGTGGTGCAAGCATTACGTGGGGAGGCCAGCACGAGACATTCCTGTTCCCGACGTGAAATACGTTCGGTCCACAAAATGAAACGGACCGACGTTCAGGTGCCTTGCTCTCTCTCTTGCCCCTCCGCTCTGCCGTCCCCTTTGTTGTCTTTGCAGGCCAAGCCGTCCTACAACCGAGATTTGAAGTCAGTGGCCAGGGAGGAGGGCAACAACAACACACCGATGAAGAACCCCCTCTTATCTAGGCACACTGAAGTACGGGAATATGCATTCTTGTGCTTCCTCGTCAAGCTCTCCCTGGTGATCAATGTTGGCCTTGCCCCGGCGCCGCCGAAGCCTCCACCCCCAAAAGACTTCAAGTTGCTCAGCGGGGTTATGANGTACGGGAATATGCATTCTTGTGCTTCCTCGTCAAGCTCTCCCTGGTGATGAATGTTGGCCTTGCCCCGGCGCCGCCGAAACCTCCACCCCCAAAAGACTTCAAGTTGCTCAGCGGGGTTATGGTTGCCCGAACTACATTGAGAACGCACCGCCCGTGGGTCCCTCGCCGTTGAGTTGAAAGGTGCGTGTCTCATGCGGGGATACCCCGATACGATACGATATGCCACCAACATGCCGTTACTGCAGTTGAGGCACAGGTAGAAGGCTCACCTCTCTTAGCCGAAACAAATATCGAGCACCACTGTTCCATATGCGGCAAGTTATGCGATTAGAAGTACTTGCACTCTCGACTCCTACCCGCTACGCATAGCGTTGTGAAATGACATTGAACAGCCTGACAAGCAGCGCGGCTGCGCACGCGTAAACTGTTTGAAGAGGACCTGTCTAAGGCCGCCCCCCTCCTCCCTCACCCGCCTCGGTAATTTTTTTCAAGAGATGGTGGTCGAAGCTCGCCGGGGAGCTGAAAGACGAGATCACCGACCCGACCTGAGCCCCCACGTGGTCCCCGCCGTCCCCGCCCCGCTGAGGTGAACAACGCGGGGGCACCGCAGTTCCATCCCTTGGTTGTAGCTCTCGCGCTGGCAGTGCTGTTCCTCTGCTGCTGTGGTGGTGATATGCTGCGATATGCTGAATATTCTCCGGCCACCGCCTCAGAGAGGTTGTCGTCACTCATCCCCTGCTGTTTTCCTGGTGGCAAGGGAAGGTGAAGGTGGCAAGGCCCCACACTAGAGGACATTGTAGCAGATAGACGCCTTTGGGGCGCACCTTAATACGGCCCGAAGGAGATGAGTTCACGTCGTGCACAACGATAGGGTTTTCATTAGTCTCGAAGCGCTGCACTTTGTTGATTGACACCCCCCTTCCTCCCTCCTACCAACAATGCCGTTGTTGTTCGTTTGCAGCCCCACACCTCTCTCTGAGCCGGCCCTTCAGCGCCTGTTGTCAGCACGTGAAGGAACTGTATTACGAGGACAAGGCCCGCGTCCTGACTGGGAATGGAGTGGCCTCGTCGCACTCTTCCCTTCGACACGACGACCTACGTGTGATGCGGCGTGTCTAAACAAACGTCGTCGTCTTCTCGTCGTGCAATGTAAATATGCACAGTACCTTGGTCATCGAGACGGAGAGCAGGTTTTCCCACTCACAGATAGTGGGAGGGGTGAGTGCATAGGGCGAGAGAGGTAGTCAAACCATGCACGTTTTGCGAGGTCACATATCCGTTTGAAAGTGTGGAGTTATTCTCTGTCTGGAGCTCAACGTGCGTTTGTGGCTGGTATCAACGTATAATGGGGTGACTATATTTCTTGTCTGGTGTGTTCTTGATGTGATTTCTTTGGTGACTCGATTCTTTTCAAAAGGCTGCCCGTCTTTGGCGGTAGAAGGGTTTGGGGGCGTGGTGTACGCGCATCGCGCACCAGTGTTGCTATAGCCATCACGTGTTATCCTTCCTTGCCCTTGTCGAAAGCGATTTTGCAGACTACGAGCGCAGTTTCTACTTCCAGCAAAAATCCTTTGACGTTGATCGCTCGCGTCACGTTGAGGTTTTGTCTGAGGTGTTCAGGGACGATTCGCCCTTTCCGTGATTAGAACACGCAGAGATTACAGCACCGCAGTACAGTCCACGGGGGAGACGCAACATTAATGCATACATAAACACGCGGTGGGTTGCATGCGTCTTGGACGACATTGAGATTTGTACGAGGCCTCGGCGTACAGCAAAAATATGATCGTCGCACAAGTGCAGGGACGGAAACCATGGTAAAACTCTTGCGCCGGGCTTTGAGCACGCAACAATCACAGACGAAGACAAAATTCGCCTGTGCGACACTAAGGTAATAATTAACCAAAAATACACATGGTAAATAAACCCGAAGGCTTGATGCTATGTCTTCACACAACCGCTGCCATCCCTTGTTGCACCAAATGATAGCCGCTGTTTTAAATTAAGTACCATGTACACCATCATTGTAGTCCACCTACCAGCCACGGGTTTCTCGCACTAAAGTTCTGTAAAGGATACCTCTCCCCCCTTTTACCCAAAGACAACTTATCATCCCACTTACTACTGTACTGTGGAACATACCCGCGCTCACCCTCCTCGCATTCAAGACAAAATTGGGACACCCTCAAAAACCAGCCTGCAAACCCCACCCCCTACATGCCCCGTTGGCGACGCCGGGGTCGTTCGCGGGAAGAAACACTTCACCAACGCCATTGTACTTGACCCATATGCGCTGAATTCCATCCCCCCCCGTTTTCAAGCAACCATCCCCCGTTTCGGCCGTCAGCTCGACAACTAGCCAAGCCTCCGACTCCTACGCCCCCCTCCACCCCAGCCTAGAAAACTCACCCCCATCTTGCAATGAGGCGTTCTCATGCCCAGATCGCAAAGAAGGTGCAGTACCGATTGGTTCCCCATATTACTCCGACGACCCGCTACCGCCGCCGCCGGGTGCGGCGGAGTTGGCGGCGGTAGCGGCGGCCTGTCGAGACAGGGATTTCTGCTTGGTGATCTCTACGCAGTCCAGGTAGCGCTTTCGGAAGGCGAATAGGATGGCCGCGGTGATGGACAAAGTCCCCACCAGAACCATGAAGAGCTTCGACGTGCCTAGCTTCTGCGATATCACCCCTTTTGGGCGGAGGGGGCGGTGGAGCGCGCGGTTGAAATGGCGTGCGGAGGTTCGGAGGCTGGTGTAAATCACGGGCCACTTTCTGTCGCGGAAAGGACAATGTCCCTCTAGGAGGAGGCGTGTTGGCGGTACAGCGGTGGGGAACAACCGCAAAGAAGAACGGTTTCTTGTAGGGTCTGGAGAGGGAATCAAATGTACTCGGCGTGGAGATCGCAGGGGGCAGGGGCGCGATACTCATAGCCGAGCATGCCGTAGTCGGTAGACCATCGATATCTCATCCCTACAAGGCCGGGACAGAGCAGGCCGGGTTCTCACCGGACCAGGATCGCACATCACCAAGCGCCAAGCGCCGCGAGGAATTCAGCGAGTTGAATGAAGGGTGTACTAAGTTTCCTGCTCAAGGGTGTTCGGCATACGGAGCTTACCTCCTCGCATACGGATGACAGCTGCGAATGGCAAACTGTGTTCTCACCCCCAGAATAAGTAATACATACTGTGTAACTGCCTGGAGGGTGCTCGACCAATTTAAAACGTGTTACGATCTTCTTTATGCGGAGTGAGGGTTCTCGTACAACCCGCACAACCTAATCTACTCGACCACCATCCTGGTTGCCGCAAAAATTATCAAAGAAAAAAAACGCGGAAACGTGGTTGCCGTGCTCACCAAGCGGTCGGTGTGTTCTACAATGTCTTTAACCGACGAAAACCAACCCAGATGGCTCTCGGGGGGGGG